TTACACAGGATTATAGACTATCAAAAGATGATGATAAAAGAGTTAAAATATATACTTATGAATTGACATTTTTTTTAAAACAAAAAATAAAAGAAAATGAGATAATTTCAATGTTTTTTTTTTTTTTTTTTTTTTTTTTCTTTTTTGTAGAGATACTTTCTGATTGAAATGTATTTGCTATTCAAGTTTCAGATTAAAAATATAATCAATATTATAAAAAATTATAATGACGACTTAAAAATTTTATATAAATTCTTATGTAAAAATAATTTCTTCTTTTTTTTTATGTAATAATAAAAATGAAATAAGGAAAAAATATAAAAAAAAAAAAAAACATAAAATTAAGATTAAAAAATGAAAATTATTTGTTCTACCTGGAAAATTTAGTTTCTAAGATAATATAGAAAGAAAATCATAATTTACATTTTTTTTTTTTTTTTTAGATCATATTTATCAAAATTTTTAGGTTTAAATAAAAATAATTTAATTAATTATTTCTGTATTTTTAATAATATCAAAACAAAAAATATTAGTAGGTAAGAAAATAAAAGGAGCTTTATAAAATGAATTAAATTTCCATTTTGTTTCCATACACATCATAAATATATATATCTTAAATAATTTTATATGTTATTTTTTCTTTTTTTTTTTTTTTTTTTCTACAGAAACCTATCTAATAAACCAAGTATTTAAAATAAAAAAATAACATTTTATATATATATACTAAAATACTACATAATAAATAGGAAAATACATTGATAAATATTAAGATCTACATATATATATATATATTAGTTTAACAAATATATTACATTTATAACAAATATTTTTTTTTTATTTTTTTTAATTTTTATATAAAAATAGTTATTTTATATAAATGGAGAGATCACATAAAAATAAGAACAAAAGTACTATTCCATTCTATATATAATACTAATAAAAATCTAGAAGTAATAATATACACATTTTTATGATTTGTTCATTTCTTAATTACATTTTAGTTTTTTTTTTTTTTTTTTTTTTTTTTTTTAAATTGAAGTTTAATATAAAAGATATTCTTCTATTACCTTATAATAATTTTTTTAAGTAATTTTATAAATTTACAAAAAAACGTACAAAAATTAAAGTGAAAAGGAATCATGATAAAAAAGAAAGAAAATTGAAGCGCGAATTAAATCAAATTTATTTTTTTTTTTTTTCTATAAAGAATTATCTATAAATTTCTTTTTTTTTTTCAGCGATCTAATTGAAAAAAATCACAATGAAAAGGGTTTAAACCAAAAACTTATATTTGAAATAAGCAAAATTTATTCAAAATATAGTTTCCAATATATTGAAAATGAAATAAAAGAATCTTTTGAAATACAATTAAAAAGTAAGAAATAAAATAAAATTTTTATATATAACAGAAAAAAAATAATTAAATAATTACTAACTAAAGTGTTTATATAAATTATCAGTTACATAAATAATAATCTTACTAACCACTGCGTATATCGATAGAAAATATATGTAAACCATTAAATATTAAATATATATAAATATACATGCATTATGAAAAAATTTAAAAGATGGATATATATAGATAATAAAAAATGTGTAGATAATTTTTATATACGAAAATGAAATTAGTTACACAAATAGAAATTATTACATAAAGAAAATTTTATCATATAAAATGTTTCAGTAGATTTGTTTTTTTTTTTTATTTGTGTAATGAACATACTTATTTTATAATTATAAAAAAAATAATATAACTTTTTATCATAGGGAATTGCATTTTCAAAAATAACAACATTTTAAATAAAATGAGTTTTTTAAAAAGCAATGTTGACACAAATATTGTTTCCGCAAATATTTTAGAGAATAAGCATACATTTGGAGAAAATAACCACGATTTACATGTAATAAAAAGAAACAGCATTGCATCTCTTACAAATGAATCAAATATAGAAGATAACTTAAATGATGATAAATATATGAATATAAAAAAACACATGAAAAGAGCTCGTAAAAGCATGCGTGATAATCTATCAGATACCTTTTATGGTTCCGAGTTATTAAGCGAAGAAAATTTTTCTAAAATTTCATCAAAATTAGAAAAAAGGTTAGAAATAGATAGAAATATGACTGTTTCTGATTGCAAGGTTAATAAAAAAAGTGTTTTAGAATTACAAGAATATGTGAAAGAAGATGATGAAAGTACGGAATTATCTGATGATATATCTTCTTTTGATAATCTAGATGACGATATTTTAAGTATGATAAAAAAAAAGTATTATGAAAAAAAGAAAAAAAAATCAAAAATTAAAAGAAGTGAATATATGTTAGAAGTTAATGAAGCTCCGGAAAAAATATCAGAACAAACGTATCAGAAAAAAAGGATTGAAAGTATAGAAAGAAGTAAAGAATCAAATTATACGCATCCCCATTGTCCGTTTGATGATGACTATCATATATATTATAACATTGATAAAAAAGATATAAGTGCAATAATGCAAAGCTCAATAAATAATTATAATTGCGCTTTATCAAAAAAAATTTTAATTCAAGGAAAGATTTTTATTACACATGATAGTATATGTTTTATTCCTCTTTTTAATGTTCTTTTTTTTAAAAATTCTATATTAAGAATAAAATATGATGATATTTTATCAATAGAAAAATTGAAAGTTCTTCATTTTATTCCTAATTCACTTAAAATAACTACAAAATATAAATCATTTATATTTATGTCTTTTGTACGTAGAAACCATGCATACAATTTGATAGTTGATATGATTAAAGAGAGTAATAATACAAGGAAAATTCCTAAGAGAGGAATTGTACTTCATATGGGAGAAGATAAAAATGAAGATAATTATGATACTAATTCAAAAGAAAGTGAAGATGAACATAAATCTAAGGAGAAAATAAAGTGTATAAAAAAGGAACAACTGTTTTCTACATTAAATGATAGAGAAAGCTATTTACATATAGATACAAGAAGTGAACATTTAGAATTGAATATTAGTATGGAAGAAAAAAAAATTTTAGAAGAAAATAATTACGTAGATTGTAAATATTACATAAATAGCTTATATGTCAATAAAAATTTTAAAAATATTTTTTCTAAAATATTTTCGAATTTTAACCTTGAAAATCCTTTTGTGAAAATTGCTTTAGATAAAAAACCAGAATATTTATCTTACGATCGTTTAGAAAAATTAGATGAAATTTTTGAAACGCAAAAAAGTTTAACATATGAATTAGTATATAATATATTATTGTTTGATGAAGGTGAAAGAGTTTTCGGTTTACCAAGAAGATCTGATGTAAAAGAAACTGTAAGTTTTTTCTTTTTTAAAAATGTTATATCTATTCAAAAATCAAATATTTTATTATGTAACGTACCATTAGCTGGATGTTTCCGTACAATAATTACAGTAAACATGCATAATTTAGATGAAGAAAATAGTTCTACACAAATTGACTTTTCTTATGATATAAAATTTTTGAAAGGTACTTTTTTTAAAAAAAAAATTGAAGCTAATAGTTTACCAAAATTAGAAGAAACAGTTATAAGTTTAAAAGAATATACTGAAAATGCTATCAAAAAAAGTTTTAAAAAAATTAAAGTTGAAAAAATAGATATACATATGGAAAATAGAGAAAAAAACTATGAAATTAAAAAAACTGAAGTTTCTCTTACAAATAGTGGTATTATTAGTAAAGATTTTAAATTGAAGAAATCAGATAGACGATTCAAATGTTTGAGAAATCATTTTAAGTGGTTAGATTCCCTTTCATCTTATAGATTTGGTAAAAAAAATATATATAAGTATATTACATAAATATTTTTATTTTTAACTCATGTATATATACATTATTATACTTAATATTTTTATCATAATTTTTTTTTTTTTTTTTTTTCAGCAATTTTTACTGTTTTAATATCAGTTTCCATATATATTTTTTACAAAATAATATATTACTAAAAATGAGCTTTTGAAAAAATTAAAATTTATAAAAATATTTGAATTTTCACATTTAGAATTATAATATACTCAATTTTTTTTTTTTTTTTTTTGTTACTATTATTTGTTATTTGTATTATAATTCTAGAAATTTGTATATAATACATCTTTTTGTAGTTCAAACACACCTTGTTTTTGTTATTTTTGTAAATTTATTTATAATACATGTTAGAAAAAAAATAAAGTTTGTTTTTACTTGTTTTTGTTTTGTCTATTGTTATACATTACACTTACATATATATATATATAAGCATAAATTATAAATATATATACATATATATATATGTACACATTTAATTTGTTCATTTTATTCAAGAACCTATTTATTTTTTGTTTTTTAAATTACTTTTACATGTTTTATAATAAATACTCACTTGTTTTAAATTTGTTTATGTAAAAAAAAAAAAATTAACTAAAAAGAAGAATAAAATAATTAAGAACCCATTATTTATATATATCATTTAATAAAATATTATTTTAAATATTTTTGAATAAAAAGCATAAGTGTAATCTGTAGAATATAAGGAAAATAAAAAAAACAAAAATAAAATGAAAGTGTTAAACATTATTCCATTAAATTTACAAATTAAAAAAAAAAAAAAAAAAAAAAAAAAAAAATGAAAAATATAATATTTATTTTCTTTCACAAATTTAAAAAAAATAAAAAATAAAAATTGTAATCATTTTTTAACTATTTTTTAAATAAAATAAAAAACGAAAATATTAGTATTTTTTAAAATGAAATTTTTTTGTTTAAAAGGGCAAAAATATTTGAATACAAATGAAAAAAGAAAAAAAAATATATATATAAAAAAATGTTTATATGATATATAAAAATATATATTAAAATATTCTTGTTTATATATTTAAATAAATACTACTTCATTATTAAAATAATATAATAAAAAAAATATTTCCTGTTAAATATTCTGTTAGATGAAAGATGATATTTATAAGATACATTAAATTCAGTAAGAATACAAAATAATTTTATGAAACATTTGATCCAATAAATTTAATTTAGACATTTAAAAAAATAATAATATAGATAATCTTAATTAAAATAACATATTTAATTTTAATATAAAAGGAAAAAAAAAAAAAATAAGAATAACAATAATAAATAAAAATCAATTTTCTATTTTACTTTAATCATTTTATTTTTATTCATATAAATAATATCAAGTTAATTTTTTTTTTTTCGAGTAGTTAAAGAAGGAAAATATCAAGTATATTTTTTTTTTTTTTTTTATTGCTATAAGATAAACGAAAATTATGGCAATTTTTTATGTATATTAATAAAAAATACTTTTAATTATAATTTTTTTATGAATAGTCATATAATTTTTTTAATGATTTATAAATTAGCTATAATTTAATGGCATTTAAAACACTTTTATATATTTCATGTTCATAATTTTTTCTATATTTGTGTACATAATAATTACATATATATTTTTTATATATTTTAATTTGAAATGCCTCGAGAAATTATAACCTTACAATGTGGTCAATGTGGAAACCAAATTGGCGTTGAATTTTGGAAACAGTTATGTAATGAGCATAACATAGATCAAGAAGGAATATTAAAAAATAATAATTTTTTAAATGAAGATAGAAAAGATATATTTTTTTATCAAGCTGATGATGAACATTTCATACCGAGAGCATTGTTATTTGATCTAGAACCTCGTGTTATAAATAGTATACAAACTAGTGAATATAGAAATTTATACAACCCTGAAAATATGTTCATATCAAAAGAAGGAGGTGGCGCAGGAAATAATTGGGGATGTGGATATAGTCAAGGACATAAAGTAGAAGAAGAAATTATAGATATGATTGATAGAGAAGTAGATAATAGCGATAATTTAGAAGGATTCATTTTATCTCATTCAATTGCAGGAGGTACTGGTAGTGGAATGGGGAGTTATTTATTAGAATTACTAAATGATAATTATTCAAAAAAAATGATTCAAACATTTTCTGTTTTTCCATTATTAACTAATGAAAGTAGTGATGTTGTTGTTCAACCATATAATAGCATATTAACATTAAAAAGACTTATATTAAGTACTGATAGTGTTGTTGTTATTGATAATACTTCTCTAAATAGAATATTTGTTGATAAATTAAAGTTAAATAATCCTACATTCCAACAAACAAATACAATTATTTCTAATGTGATGTCTGCTTCTACTACTACTTTAAGATATCCAGGTAGTATGAATAATGATATGATAAGTTTAATATCCTCCTTAATTATTAACCCTAAATGTCATTTTTTAGTCACTTCATATACTCCTATAACTATTGAAAAACATATTTCTAATGTTCAAAAAACTACTGTTTTGGATGTTATGAAAAGATTATTGCACACAAAAAATATTATGGTGTCTGTACCTGTTAGAAGAGGTATGTATATTTCTATATTAAATATTATTAGAGGAGAAACAGACCCAACGCAAGTTCACAAAGGACTACAAAGAATTAGAGATAGAAAATTAGTCAATTTTATTAAATGGAATCCTGCATCAATTCAAGTTACTCTAGCAAAGCAATCACCTCATGTTGTTTCTACGCATAAAGTATGTGGGCTTATGATGGCTAATCATACTTCGATTTCAACTTTATTTGAAAGATGCGTTACACAATTTGATAGGCTATTCAAAAGAAGAGCATTTTTAGAAAATTATAAAAAAGAACCTATGTTTTCAAGTGCTGATGGACAAGGTAATTTTGAAGAAATGGAATCGTCAAAAGAAATTACACAAAATCTTATTGATGAATATAAAAGCGCAGAAAGAGATGATTACTTTAATCACACCTATTTGTAACAAGATCATCCAAAAAGAATGTTTTTGTAAATTTAGGAATAAATATCAATTTTATATAACATATACATTATTTAATCAACACGAATAAAGAATAATTGTGTTGAAATTATTTACATAATATTAATTATATACAACATAAATATAATTTCAAATTTTTCTAAAATAGACAATTTTTTAATTTATTTATTTTTAATATACATATGTTCTAGGTTTTTTTTTTTTTATTTTTACTTGATATTTTATTTATCTTTTCTTTTGATGAAAATTTATGAATTTATACTTGTATACTTATATATTTAAATATTTTTAATCATATATATATATATATTAACGTTTTAGTTTTTTTAAATAAAAAAAAAAAAAAAAAAAGTTATAACTTAGATCATCTTATTTTTTGTTTTAAAAAACTTTTTTTTTTTTAAAGTATTCATAGAAAATTATGTTCTTTTTACTGAACAGATTTCTTAAAAAAAATTTTCAGTAAATAAAAAAAAAAAAAAAAAAAATTACCACATACAACCGGTTGGTGGTAATAATGTAGATGGATATATATAATCTTTTGAATTTAAATCACATGGAAGAATATATGGATCATCGTATTCTACTCCCTTACTAGTAATTTTAACAATTTGAATTTTATTTGATGCTGTAGCATCTCTAAAATATAAAATTTTTAAACATTCATTTAATAAATTACGTGCTTCTTGCTCATTCATGTTATCTTTATAATGATTTCTTAATAATGTTAAAGCAAAATAGCGGGCATATCCTGTAGTCATATAATCACCACAGAATTGAGTACCGTGCATATCAACAAAACCAATATAGAGATCATTTTTATCAATAATTTTATATTCTTGTTCATTTTTTTTTTCTGTATATAATAAAATATTTTTATCATTATCATCATATTCTTGAGAATTAATTCCAGCTATAATAATATTATTAAATAATGGGTCAATTCTATTTTTTCTATTATAAAATATTCTACTTACATATGAATGATAATATTTAGGATTATGTATGTCATATTTACTTTTTCTTTCTGTAACATTATTTACATTAACACGAGTTAATAATTCATATATATATTGAGCATCAGCTAGTTCACCACTAAAACTCATTACTGTTTTATTATTTATTTTGAATATTCTTTCAACATTCTGAAATTTTGCATAACTACCATAACTTGCTGTAAGTTGGGAGAATAAAGATAAATTATATATATATTTTTATATATGTTAATAAATACATAAAAAAAAATAATATATATAATAAAATTTAAAATACATATTTAAGACTTTATAAAACATATTTGTTATTGATATAAAATTTATGAATTTTTATTTCACCTTTTCTATCTGCTGCTATCATTATTCCATTTTGATATTTCAAAGCAATTACTGATGTTCCTGTTACTACTGGTCCTAAAGTCATTTTTTTTTTTTTTTTTTTTTTTAATTTTATCCTATTTTTATTTTTATTTTTATTTTTTTTTTACAAGATATTTTGGTTAAATATGTATAAAAGATATTTCTGATATAATTACATGAATATTCAAAACTCAAAGTTGTATTTTTACTTATTTTTTATTTCATCATTTAAATAAGTTATTTATCTTAATCATATCATATTTTATTTTACTTATATATATGTATTTTTTTTTTTTTTTTTTTAAATGTAATATTTTTCATATTTATATAAATATAAAATACAAATTTTGAAATTTTTGTTAAATTTTTAATGTATGTGTACTATATAATAATTTTTTTTTTTTTTTTAATCAATTTATACTTCTAGTAAAAACAAAATATTCATTAAAAATTTATATTTATATAATTATAGCAATTATATTTTCCATTAATTCTAAAAAAAATCATAATATTTGAAAAATAAAAAAAAAAAAGTTTATATAAATATTTACATAATAGAATTTAAAAAAAAAAAAAAAATATATTTTTGAATATCTCTAAAACATTAAAGTATTGCTAAGAGTTAAGTCAGCTATTTCTTTTATCGTATAAAGAAAAAATCAAATAACTACTCCTGTTTTATATATATAGTTCCTTTTTATAAAATAAACCCACAAAAAGACTATAGCTATTTTAAAGGAACACTATCTATTAAATAACACTATTTCACAATTACAAAAAAGAAAAAAAGAAGAAAACTTAAATTCTCTTAAATAACACACTTTTAAAATATAAAAAAAAAAATAGTTTAGATTTTATAAATCTTTTTTCAACTAAATGAACATTCAGAGAAAAGAGTTATTTTTAAACGTTATGATTCACATTTAAAAATATAGAATAAACAAATATTTTCTTTTTTATTTTAGTATTTTAAACAGATTTTATTCTTTATAATAAGCACAAATATTCTAGAAATAGTAAAATTAAGTAAAATATTTCTTTAAAAAAAAAATTTTATTCTACTACTATTAATTATTAACTTTATCAAATAAGTGAATTATATTTGAATGTTTACATAAAATAAATATAATAAAAAATTGTTTAAAATAAAAAATAAAAACATATATTCACGTGACTTCTATAAATAGAAAATACATATAGAAAAAATAGGTGTATTTTTCTTTTCTTTTTTAAAAATTATTAATTACAAAAAATTATATCATTTCATCTTATAGACCTACATTTATGTATTACCAATAAGAATCTTTTTTTAAAATATTTATATATTAAAAAAATTCCAATTTATTGAAAATACGAAATGAAGATGTTAATATAAAAAACAATTTCATTTTATTTTATTTTTTTCTTATTTTATATATACTTTATAATAAAGCATTTTATATTTTCCATAATATATTTATCTTCTTCTACTTTTAATATACTTTTACTAATAAAAAATACTCTTTAAAATTTATGTATTTTTTTTTTTTTAAAACATAAAATATGTTGATACATTTTCAACAAATCTTCAATTTTAAATACATTTGTTTTTTTTTTTAAAAAGTATTTTTTTCTTTTTAAAAATACTTTTTTTAATTTAAAATATATTCATTTTCTCAAAAAAAAATAATATTTAAATTCTTTTTTTCAATTTTAAAATTCTACTTACAAAAAGGAAAATTAAAACATAATTAACCTTCATGAATATTATTTACAGAAAAGAAAATTAGTTTTTCTTTATATTTTTTTTTTTCTTTTCTTTTTTTTTATTTTTTATTTTTAAATTTGCCTCCTCAGGGTCATTATAAAGATAACAAGGTAATATAAATTTGACCTTTTAGTTTTCCTCAAAATTTTTTTTAGTTTTTTTTTTTTTTTCATCATAGGAGGTTCAACCATAAAAATGGAAGGATCAATAAAAAAAAAAAAAAAAATAAATAAAAAAAAAAAAAAATATTTTATTTGCATATATAAAAAAAAAAGAAAAAAAAAAAAAAGAAAAAAAAAAAAAAGAAAAAGAAAAAAAAAAAAAAAAAAAAGTGCACTAAGTTATTTATGTGTGATACTCATTTTTATGCATATATGGCAAAAAAAAAAAGAAAAATGTTTTTAATAGTGTTAAAAGTGAATATATTCCTACTTTTAGAGAATATTATTATTTTTTTTTTTTTAAAAAGTATATTAAATAATAACATGAAAATATTTTCTTTACACATAAAAATTCTAATAAATAATGCAATATATTAATATAAAAAAAAAAAAAATTAAAAGCATATATATATATATATATATATATATTCTTAAATTTATGTTGTTTACTTTTATGAATTTTTTTTTTGTTACATATTTTTTAAAAAATAGAATTAATGTTATAGATTCTTTTTTTTTTATTTATTTATTTTGTTATATTTAAAAAAAAAAAAAAAAAAAACTAAAATTAAAATATATAAATAAAATGAAGAAAAATAAAATAGAATTAATATAAAAAATATTTCATGTATAAAAATATTTTATTTGTTTTAATTTGTTATTAAATAATCCAAAATCTTTTTAATTATATTTTTAAATAGTTTTTATTTAATTAAAATTTGCTTTATAACTATTATTAAAAGAAGTTTAAAAAAAATATTTTTTTTTAAAGCCTTT